TGGACCGAGAGGAAAGCAAGCGATGATGTGATTTATGAGGTTTTCCTATACTTTTCAAGTATACTTCAAAGAGGGACGCCGCAGGTGGACGGTGGTGGAGGTGATTTTCCGGGCGGAGGAGGAATTTGAGTCGACAGAGGTCGATTAGAGCTTTTGGAGAAAATTGTTTAGAGTTTGGGAATGAAAATAAAACGAGGGAAAGAAAAAAGAAAGAAAAGCGGGGAATGAAAAAAAAGGAGGCGTCCATTTCTGTGAGCGATTGGCGAGGGATGGGAAATAAAGGCGTGTGATTTTGTCGATAAATTCTTGCAATTCAGTTGTTGATCCCTCGGTAATACCTCTCTAAAAGTCTATAAGTATTTTGGTTGAAATATTTGTGCGTTCCGTCGCTGATCCCTCGGTAATTCGTCACTAATTAGCTACGGATAGAATCCGTAGCTAATTCCGTCGCTGAAGGTTATGTTTCTAGTAGTGACTCACGCACCCAGGCATTGACCACTCAACTTGAAGGGCAAAAAAAATTAGAAAAACATACCATATTTGTCAACTTAGTAAAACTACAGGACCATTTTTGCCAAATCAAAAACATTATTGTAGCTAACTATAGCCACTTTTAATATATACTACTGAAGTATCCCCACTTTGCAGGGGTCGGATTTCAATCAGACAATCATATAGATAAAGTCGGTAAAACACAGTCACATACATAGACGATCACAAACAGACAGACATTAAAACAAACACATAGCAACATACAATCTGCATACAGAAGATCATATACAGCAACCACTCAAATTGAATTACATTTAATCTAAAGAAATGTATAGACATCCACCAGACACAATCACATCCTTTACATGTGTAAGATGAACACACTTTCTTGTAGAGAATGTAGAAATTGGGTAGTTTTTTGAAAGTGCAGTGGTGGAACATGATGAAAAGAAAGCACGATACCATAATAAACAAATCAATAAAAGTATGTGGCTATTTTTGGCTGAAGAAAATAAACTTACGGATTAGGAAAAAAGGTTTAAGCCAATATTTGACTTTTTAACATTATAATATATATCAAATTTTGTTTGTGAAAAAAAAATATAACAAATAAACTCAATATACAGTTATATTTACTACCTGGAAATTTATGAAAGTTGTTCCCTAATACCTGATTGCAGCCAAATCAAAAGTTCTTGTGACCGATTCTTCTTTTATCATGTGGTATCGTCGAAGAAGATATTCCGTAAGTGAAGAGCCTAAAGTTTCAACCAAACAATAGTATGTATCACATAATAGTCGACATTGTGACCTTCTGACTGCGAAAGACAGAAAGTAGCTACATACTTTGTATTAATATTGATACAAATATATCAAATTTGTGAAAACGAGAATTAGAAACGTATGAAATAATCAATTTAAAATAAAGTTTAAAAAAGAAAATACCTTATTCGGTGCTGTAAACTCAGAAGTTGAATAGAAATCACCCGATTGAGCAACGGGGATCAACTGTTGCGCAAAAATCAGAAATTTCAAATAATTTTATGAGTAGTTTGGTTTAGTTTTTTTCTAAGTGGTTTTTGACATCCTGCTATCTTTAAATGCCCCTGGGAAATAATATGTACTTGTTTTTCCCTTAACAAACTAGTTGAACTTAAAATGCATAAAAAAAATTGAAAAATATACAAAACGGGTTACCTGTCTAACAAAATGAAGCGTTTAGTAATGTCGATTTGGTATATTCAAAAGTCAAACGTTTGGCAGCACTTACATCAGAAGGACATCATGTGATAAAACAGGATTTATGGAAAATACAAATCATGAGACTTTCTTTTAAGTAGATGCAAAAAAGATTAAAAAGATTGTTATATAATATGTTATTATAAAATAAGGTGTATGTGTGTTTAACTAATTTTTGCAATTTTGGAAGTTTTTGTTTGTTATATTTCAAAGTACTGTGACTATTTTGATCATTGTTCAACCAAAAATGACCAAGTTGGCCTTTATCTAATTGTTCACTATCTCCTACTTAAATGATTATATTATCCTTTATTTATATTTATATAACGAATCACTATAGAAAATTGAGAAAAAACGGTAATACATGTATTTCTACATCAGGAAAAGAAATCTTGCAATATATGATCTCAATAATCTATAAAGATTATTTTTTTCCTTAAGTTGATTTCAAAAGTTTTGTCAGTCTTTATGAATCAGTTTTATTAAATCTAATTAATTGTGAATTATTTTTTAGAGTGTTATAATTGAGATATTATTTAACAAATAAATTTGGAAATACTCTTGCTTGAATTTTACGTCATGCGGATCGATGCAAAATGACACAGTTGGATAATGAGGTGCATTCCAATTGAGTCATCCAGGATGACAACATGAATATTAATAATAGCAAACATTTGTTACAACTTACATGTAACTTTTAATACCATAAAAGAATAGAGAAAATCAAATATGTTATATTTTCTTAAAATTTTAAAAATCAACTCAAATTTAAGAAATTTCCTCTAATGACCATCAAAAGATAAAACACAATGGTCTTTTGCCATTGTAAAATAGGGCAGCAACTAACATCTTATTAAGCTTAGCAAAGCATTAAATGAATGAATCATACCAAATTTCCTAAAGGATAGGCAATTATTGTTGATCTAGTTATTATGTAAAACTGGTTTTATATCTATATAAAACTATTCCCAGATTCAAATAGACATTTTATCAAACAGGTGGTATGCGTCTTCACTTTCTTCAAATTTTTGTAATAATAATCCTACGAATTCAAACTCATTTCAGCTTACAATAAAGATGATTTAAAATCAAGCAACTAAAATACGAATCGAAGAGAAAAAGTAGAGATAGACATACCTGATTTCCAGAGACGAGGTAGGTTGTTTCGAGGGCTTCGACGGTGACCTCTGGTGGGCGAGGCAGTCGTCGCCGGTGGAGAGAGCAGAGGGTAGAAGAAGGTTAGATGAAGGTTCTTTGTGTTCTGGAGAGAGAAGATTGATGAATATGGAAACGTTGGAGGTGAAACAATCGTGATATAACCTACACGTGTGATAGAAGACCCAAAACCAAATCTGACAACAAGCAGGGAAACAACACGTAGAATAAAATTAATTGGAATTAATCCTTTAAACAGGTGTAGAATAAAATTAAAAAAAAAAAGAAATTGGTCCAATCAAAACAAAACACTGTTCCTAAGGGAACATGAAATTAATCTTATAAAATATAATTATATAATAATTATCGGATTTTTATCTGGATTAAAAAATGTGTAATTTTAAAATGGCTATATGGTCATTAACAAACCGGTTTAACCCCAAAATTATCTTTTTGCACATCTATCCTTAGTATAAATAGGTATTGATTTATTTAGTTTTAACATGTCGCTAAAAAAAATCTTTATTCTCTACGTATTTCGCAATCTTATATTCTTATTTCTTAATTTCTTCGGTTTCCAATATAAAAATGTCATTCTCACAAGCTTTAGCTTTTGTCGGAACTACCGAAACAAATAACTATACGAATGATGATGTGGTGAATCTTCTTCCAAGAAGCGGTTTCGTTCGACCACTTTGACAATCCCTGATTTATGAAATTATTCAAATGAAGTTTCAACCAAGTTATTATCCGGTAAGTTATACCACCATTAGACAAGATTCAAATAACTGAGCATGTGAGAACAAGTTATAAGGGAATCATCAATCATATAAAAGTGACCAGGCTGTGAATTACCAACTTTGTAATACTTTACCAGAGCATGCTAGTACATGACAACGAAGTTCCGTCCGAAGTAGCACATTATGAAATTATAGAGCATCAAAGCTTTTATCCCTCATGCATGAGTGTTGGAGATATTAAAAACCTAGATAATTTGACTCAATGGAAAGAAGAAGAACCACAATTTTCTATCATAGTCATTGTGGTCTGTAAATTACTAACCGTTCAAGCTTTTATGTTAGCCTTGGAATCCGCTTTTTGTCTTAACGGCAAGATATTATCCCTAAGACCGGAGGGTATGGGAGGGAAGCTTCCCTCACTTTTTGTGGGTCATACCCCCATTTCCCTCACATTTCTTTCCCTCACCTAAAACCCAAGGAATGGGTGGGAAGCCCTTCCCTCACTTTTTTTTTTTTTTTTAAATAAGTTTTTTTTATGATTTATAATTTTTAAATTAATACTAAATATAAAATTTAATTAAAAATAAAAAGCATTTCATTAATTAAAATAAAACTTACATTAAACCTAAAATTTAAAAAACTAGAAAATTAAAAAAAAATAAAAAATAAAAAATAATAAAAAAAAAACTAAAAATCAAGCAAACCAACAACGACCTACGGAAAATATTTTTTCATAATTTTTTCCCTCTTCTTCATCACGAGATCGAGAGCCGGTCCCGAGAGATGATCGATGTTTTCCATAAAAAACTTCATATCCTTCATTTCTTGTCTCTCCGCCCGCTCCTTTTTCCTTGTTTCTTCTTTTTCTTTGTCGTAAGTCAAACGTTCGGAGAAATTAAGATTATATCGATCAAACGACGATGTTATTTTCCGCATTTCGTCAATGTCCACGCTGAAATCAGATGCACCCGAAGAAGTCCATTTTCCCTTTCTCTTCGTTTTGTCCCTACCCATTGGGTGGACAATTTTCTTCTAGCTCGAGTTCGTCATCCTGATTTAAATCTAGACCGACCCGAGCATCGGAGGAGGTTGTGTAACCACTAGAGTCCGTTTTCGTTCGCTTTGATTGTTGGACTCCAAAAATAAAATCTTGCTCGTATTTTTTCCACCTAGGACATCGAACCAATAATTTCCAACAATCGTGCCACTTGAATGGTTTTCCGACTTCTTCAAGGTAAAACTGCAAAGCTTCTTGAAGTATTTGTTCGTCCCCTTGGCCGCTTTTCCGTTGGGTTTTTAAGTTGTTGTACAACCCGTTTATTTTTGAAACCCCCTTTGCTATTTCTCGAAACTTCGAATTCAGTTGATGTTTCGTACGGTAGTCGTCACCTTTTTCTAGCTCCTCTCGAAACCGTTCTAAAATGCGAAACAAAAAATGGTCTCCCGGTTGTGCGTTTCCTTGAATCGAATCTTCAGAAATGTCAGCCCAAGATTTGACCAAAACTAGCTCTTCGTGTGGAAGCCATGCAATCGGCTTTTGTCTTCCCGGTTGTGTGACACCCTCGCGCGCTTGTTTTTTCCCTTTACGTCTTTGTGGGGGTGGTGTGGGTTGAGTTTCGGGAACCATCTCTTCTTCTTCCGAGTCATCCAACTCGTCGACAAGTTGGCGTTTTTGGTGGATTTGGGTTTGAGTTTGAGTTTGGGTTTGAGGTTGAGGTGGATTTGGCGATTGTTGATCCGGAAACACAACAAAGTTTGAAAACATTTGCGGCGAAACATTTGGAACTTGCATCGGGTAATATTGTCCAACATTTTGGTATTGAAATTGTAGTAGGGATTGAATGGGAGCATCGAGTTGGGGGCGATAAACTCCTTGTGGTGATGAATCGATAGCAAAAATGTTTCGATAATGGATGTTTATACTCGAACCATGGCTTTTTTTCCTTCGATCGGAAGGTGGGGTTTGATTTTCGGGATTCATTTTTTTTTTAGAAGAAAATGGAGAGAGTAGAGGATTTGTGTGAATTTTGTTTGATGGTAAATAGTTGTGTATTTATAGGTGTGTAAAAAGGTTAAAAAAAAAACAAAAAAAATGGATTTAAATCCATTTAGTCGTTGCAGCCCAAAAAAAAATAAAAAAAAAATTATTATTTTTTTTTACCGTTGAATAACGGTTGAATTTCAAAAAAAAAAATAATAAAATAAAATAAAAAATAACACCCAATCATAGCAGGAGAGAGAACGCGGGAAAGGTTTCCCTCACTCATTCCCGCACCACCCTTCCCCGCACCGACGGTGCGGTGTTCCGCCGGGCGGGAACCTCCTCGCGATCCTTCCCCGCTCCCACTCCGTCCGGCCTAATAAATGTCAAGACTCACCTTCGAATCAAAGGAAATATGTTAGGGATGGCAAATCGGGTCATCGTGTCGTGTTTTTGTCTGACGTGAAACGACACGACAATGTTTTATTTGACATGAACACGACACGACATGATGTCGTGTTTTTTTTTAACTAACACGAAAACGAACTAATTAAAAAACGACAAACACGACACAACACGACAAAGGTAACATAATATAAAAATTAGTTTATTTAATTAATATTTAATCATACATGACACGACAAACACGACAAAAAAATGCTTAATCGTATCAATTTCGTGTCAAAATTTGAACATGAGCACGACACGACGTTGTGTTTTTTATACTTGACACAAACATGAATTCGAATTTCAGTTTCGTCCCAATTTCATTTCGTGTCATGTATTTCATTTCGTCCCAATTGCCACCCGTAAATAAAATATGTGTTTGTTTAAGGGATCATTTGGATTGCATATAAAAGACAATATTGTGTTTTGTATGCCAATAACGCATCCATAAATAAGAAGTTGCACTAGCGATAATACCCCAACGAAAAAAATACATGATAGTGACATGTAAGACAGATTCGACATCATTCAAGAATTTTTGGATTAAAGAAGCTCCAATTTGAAGATGATGGTAATTTGACCAGCTAATAAAAGTTGTATTCCATTTTCTAAGTTATGTTATCAGATATTTATCGCGTGTCTTTTATTTTATTTAAAATCAAATATAATAGAAATATATATTTGGTTGAAGTTGAGTTTAATTATTTTTTTAGAATTAGAAAAATCAGATAATCTGAATATCCGATTTTTAAATTTTGGTTAGTACAACATTTTTAGCCCAGATTCGGAAATTCACAATGACCTATTTGGCTTTTTCAGATTACATCCAATTTGGACAAATCCAGAGGATGTCATCTGACCTGTGTGTTGTTGGAATTAATGTGTCGAGACTTGGGAACAAAGGAAATATCTATGTTGTTCGTATGTGAATATATGAGGTCAGGAACACTTATAACCTTATGCCAAAAGCCAATGCCATGCAGAATGGCCTTTCACCGCAGTTTTTTGTACTTCAATTCATAGTACAAGACCAACAGTCCAACACAAAAAGATTTACCATAAGCTTTGACTGAGAAATGCATTTTTCAGTGCCCGAGAAAAACAAGTAATAATTAATTACCCACACACACGGTCAATCATTCCTTGGGTCCAAATTGCTGTCTCCTTCAGCTGCTCATCTTCATATTGACGACACTCTCCTAGTAATTCACTAAAAAATTCAATGTCTTTGAATAGCACCTTCATGTGTGAGTGTGACCCAAGTGAATCTGCAAGGTCTCCAAGTGCTGCTACCGCTGCCCTTACCACCCTTTTATCCCTGCATGACCACGTTATGTAAATGGAAATAATGAGCTGATATATAAGAAATAGCAATGTTAGAATTGTGTAGTTTAGGGACTGAAATATAAATGTATAGTTTCCTTATACAGGCAATGTATATATTCAGATTGTAAATCCTCCTTCCGTATGTTAATGAAAATTTGTATTCTTCCATCTCTCTCTCTTTACGCATACTCTGATTTTACAAGCAACATACTTTTATTTATTTGGATGGCATTACAATCATTGGGTTAGAATTTTTCCAAGTGTAATAGAAAGAAATGAAAGTAGAATATATTATAATTAACAAATCAATGGAAGGGCATTGCTAGTTCTTGCAATTGACCCTTATATAATAATTATCAAGATATTATTGGCTACCTGAATCTAAAGCGTAGTTACCAAAATCATAGAATTTATACGCTACACAACTTATCGGTTCTATTTGGATAGATTTGAGTGTACAATCTATTGCGACCCAAAATCACTAGTAGCTACAAGAATAGATTTTTTTTACATACTTCGGAAATAATAGCATTCCAATGATGAAAAAAAGTTTATTTTCGTCATACATAACTTTTCATGCATTTTTTAGTGGTTGATATGTAAATCAATCATACAAATTACTAAATGAAGAGTTGAACCAACCAGCTATTAAACTCAAACATTGATTCACAAAACTGGCATAATGATTCTCATTTCAAATAAGAATTTGACAAATAATCTCTACACCAGAAAGCAAATAGTTCATTCTAAGGGATGAAAAACATATCGGGCAAAATCTAATCTAGACATTTTATGGAGTTAATTATCAATCTAGCCCAAGTTCAAATTTATGGCTGATTATGATTGTTACTTTTTTTGCTCAGGAAGGTCAGCTGCACACAGGAGAATTTAAATAAAATAGTGGACAAGATGAAACCACATGCACTGAACTTTGATTGGATGAAACGGGAAGAGGAAGAAACAGAATGGAGGGAATAACGGAATAAGCTAGGTAATGAAACGAGTTATTACATTCCATGATCATGTTTGGTTGGCTTGTTGTAGGAATGGAATGAAATTTTCATTTGGATTGTGTATTAAACGCAAATACAATGTGTAACTTAAAGCCAACAATATACTATTATTTCAGATAGCCAACAAATTTTTTATTTACAAATATACCAAATTAAACTTAACACAAGCTCGTAAAAGCCCAAACAAGATTAGAATAAAAAATATAGTTTCTATATAAAATTTTATTAAAATAATGGAACTTCAGAAAAATAACTTGTGTCATTAAAAATTACATAAACAAACTGGGGTTCGTATTTTAATTATAAAAACACTCCTTAAGTAAGGAATGAATTAAAAAATGGAAAGAATAACATTTCTAAAAAATGGTCAATTCTATTCCATCAGTCGGGGCATTAGTAACAAAATTGTTGTTATATTAAAATTATTTAAATAAATAAAACTATAATTTATCCATTCAATGATGAAATGATATAACACACACCCCTATAAGGATTAAGTTAACAAAAAGGAACAAATGACATTTCTTCATGAATATTCATTAATTGTATCAACAAAGCAAAAAATGGAATGAATCATTCCATTTTTTTGCTTCCTTAATTCGACCATGTCAAGCACATATGCACTCCAATAGTTAAGATTGGTAGCATATAGAGAAAGAATCACAAGCACCGGATAAACAATTTATAGCATAGACAAATAAATAAAGAGCAAAGAAAACAAAAGACAATGTACCTGTGGGGATCCTTGACAACCACCTCAATCAATTTCAAAAGATGTGGAGCACGAGGCAACATCAACTCAGCCTTGGAATTCTTAAGCCCTTGTAAAATACCCGAATACGCCTCAAATATACTCCTCTTAAGCTGATTCCCATACTCCACCATCTCCTCATCATTAATCTGAGCACAAGCATCCACAGCCCCATGCATCATAGACATAGCATCAGGAAAATACTTCTCAAAATGCTCCCTGATCACAAGCGCCACATCACCAAAACAAGAAAAAATTGGAGGCTTTAGAGACGGGTGCAAGTCACCAGTAGAAAGATCCTTCAGAAGCAGTGCCATGATTTGGTCAGCAGCTTGGAATATAGACGTTTTTGTTTCGTCTGTGCTGCTGAGTTTTTTAATGATCACCTGCAAGACACCACACAATAAGGCTTGGTTTTCTCTATCATATGATGAGAGGATTTGGGGCTCAGTTGTTTGACCTTGACCAAGTTTGGTCATCACAACACTGAGGAGCTGTGTTATGATTTGAGATGCTTCAGGCAGATTTGAACACCTCACAACTTCATTCAGAGTCTCATACGCAGCAGATTGCAGCTTCGTGTCTGTTCTTTCAGCAGTTGCAATGAGTGAAGTTATTATGTCAGCAAGATAGGGGGTCAGAACAGAAGAGCGGCTTTTAAAACCTTCATACCCATGAGCAAGATAATAAATAGCCCCACACACTTTCTCAGCAATACGGGGTGAATCTTTGATACTTTCTAGAAGGACCCAGATGGTTCTTTCAAGGTCAGCAGGTGAAATTTTGGAAAAACCAGTGGCAGTGCTGTGTAATAACTTGAAAGTACGGGTTAGAGTCCATGCGGTAGTGTCTTTCACATGACTGTTTTGATCTTCCATAGCATCAAGCAGCAAGTACAAGAAACATAAGAGATGAGGAGACAAATGTTCGGCACTTGGGCCTTCAAGAATGGAACCGAGCGCATATGCTCCTGCCTCACGAGACCGCCAATCGCACTCTGAAAGATTGTCTACAGCAATTGGCAATACAAAGCGGACAATGGAATCCCCTACAATTCTCGCAACAAGACCAAGACATCTCCCCCCTGCCACTGACAAATTCCAGATGCCATCTTCATCTTGCTTCAACAAAGTTTCTAAAAGCATTCGAACCAGTACATCCATACACTTTTCTATGAAACGGGAATTAGCCCTATTTTCAATATCTTGAAGCTTAATCTCTTCCTCACAAATACAACTCCAAAACTCAACTGCTTGAAAAGCAATGCTTTCTTCATCTACGTCAATAGCATTTGCTGTTAACTCAAATAGGGTTGCCATGTAAGGCTCCAAAAATTTATAGTAAGTGGATGCAATGAACACAAGGCATTGAAAAGCAGCTTTTCTGATATCAGCTTCTTTAGCCCTGGCTGTTTCACATACCACTTTCATGATGTTATTCCTTTCCATTTCGTTTTCAAAATTTGTATGTGTGAATTGAAGTGCTTTGTATAAAGCTGTGGCTGCAGCTAGACGAACAGAGCTCTGCTCGGTGATATTCATGCCCTCAAGTACAGCTGCAAGGACAGAGTTGACTTCATCTTGGACAAAATCATCATGAGATATTTCCTTACAAATATACCCAAGTGACTCCAAAGTTGCTTGCTTTAATGATGCTGGTTGATCTTGTTGGGTCATGTTTCCAAGTAAAGAGCTGAGGAGTTCAGGCCATTCTTTTCTTGGGATTTCTATGCAAGCAATTTTGGCGATTACTTGGGCTGCAGTGTGGCCTACTTCAGAAATTGATGAACCAAGAGTCTTTAAGATCAACCCTTTGATTTGGCATCTGAATGAAATGTCAATTGTCAACCATCTTTGGAGTAAATGCTCTCGGGTGGTGGCATCCAATGAGTTCTTAAGCATAGTACCAGCAAATCTACAGGACTCCATAGGTTTATTATCATTGGAGACTTCTAGTGACAGAGAGAGAAAAAATCCAGGAAGGTTTTGTTCCTGAAATTTCCTGAGTCTGTCTTCTGCTTCATTTCGGATCTTTGCATCTGGTGATTGAGCAGATAATAGGAATTCTGTAATCTCCACATCCATCTTCTCCTATTAAAAAAATAAAAGAACTACAATCAGTCTCTTACTTCCATAGTTTCTTTTCCACAGATAGAAAGAAAACCGTAACATATAAAAATATAGATGAGAAGAAACCAAAGCTGAATCATGTGGCAAACTGTTTAAATGTTATATGAAGTAACGTCACAAAATATCACATCATAACTTTAACCACATAGCTCATAAATACAGGCAGTGTCTTAAAAACCAACCGTAATGTGTAACATCAAGATCAGAAACAATTCATGAACCACTGAAACAGTATGCCCAATTTCTGATTATTCAGGTTAGGCTTATCCACATCCCATTTCCCCCAAAAATTTTAAGACTTCAAAATCAAACCATAAACATCATATAATTTGAAAGTTTTCTATATTACAAATATCTATAACTCAAAATCAAGAAAATCCACGTGTGTTACTATTACCAAAACATATTATTATATGAACTCCGGTGATGTTCCACAAGTTCTAATACTAATTACTACTGTTAAAAAACGCACTTCCCCCAAACTTTTGATTCAAATGACCAATGAAGGAGAATTTTGATAATCAAAGCATCTAATGAATGAAGAGTATCACGTTTACACCAAAACACATTGCACACTTCAATACCTAAAAAAAACAATGCTCAGATCCCTTCTTGAACCAAGAAACCATGACAAAAGTTAACATCAATTATCGGTTAAAAGAATAAATGGGACGGGAAAAAAAATTTAACTTTTAAGGACAAATTAAATATAGCGTGATATAAGAAAAACTGTAAGCATTTCTGTTGAACACACTTAATAGATTAAACATAGTTCGATTACCCAGGCATCAATCCATGTTTCGAATTCAGCCCATAGTTGATGACCACAAAATCATACCACTTGTTAAGGGCTCCACCTTGACCTAGGATATCAAACTTCTGTTAGTATTTATAACTTTTCAATGAACAAGTGTTCACTTTATATAACATAAAATAGGATAGAATTTAATAAATAGCAATACTTTCGAATATTTTTGCATTTAACAGGTAGTGATTACGGCATCGTAGCTACACGGGATGACCCGATGAAGCATGAACAAAAAAATAAATAAATAAATAGGAGATTGTAAACAAATAAAAAGGCATCATGGAACCCGAGAAACCTAGACATACAAAATTGATAGATCCATAGATGATTTACTTAAAATTTACAAATATA